ACCCGCGGCATGGCGAGGTGGCAACGTGAGGAGACGCGGCCCCCGCCGAGGCGGTGGCGTGAGGGGAATGTCCCCAAGGGCGCCTGGAGGTCACAGCACGAAGGCAGGTGGCACATGGGAGACAGCACGAGGACGTGCGGCTCCTGTCCGGTGTGGGGGACCGCTCAGAGAGGGGCTGCAGAACCCCCGCCGTGGAAAGATGGGGCGGGGACAGCAGAGGGAATGTGCAAACATCAAGAGAATATTTGTTTTCCAGTAGAAATGTTGTGGGTTTATCCTCATCCATCATCACGATCCATACCGAGAGCAGGTTGCATCGAATAGATGTGCTTGTATACGTTTGTGCTGTTGAGCCAGCCCTGATGATGTGTCCGTGTCTGCTGCCTTCCAGGCGCTGAAGCTGAGAGCAGGAGACAAGAACTGTCTAGTTGCCCGCTCAAAATGTTACCTGAAACTCGGAGACACAGAAAATTCCCTGAAAGATGCTGAAGCTTCTCTCCAAGATGACAAAACATTCTCCAAGGTAAACAGCACAAAGTGACAAGAGTCTGGGGTGGCCAAGGACCGGTCTTTTAGCTGTGAAATTCTGAAGGGTCTGGGACACGGGATCGTGCAGAACCAGCTGACTCCACATTGCTGTTGCTTCCAGAGAAGGGGAGGTGCTGAGTCAGCAGTGGAGAAAGAGTTCCAGGATCGGATTGTATTGTATGCAGATTGCGATAGCTCTCACTTCTGCCTAGCGGGGAATTAATTGAGATCTCTGAAGCTTTTTTCCCCTCTTTTTTATTTTATTTTTTTTCTCCAAATGTCATTTTAGGGACTTTACCAAAAAGCTGAGACATTATATACCATGGGTGATTTTGAATTTGCGTTAGTGTTTTATCATCGAGGCTACAGACTACGTCCAGAACTACAGGAGTTCAAGCTGGGTATCGAGAAATCCCAGGAGGCAATTGTCAACTGCATTGGAAGTAAGTTTCACTTTATGGCCCTACAAGCAAAGTTTCACTTTATGGCCCTACAAGCACAGCCAGAAGCTGTTCAGTGGACAGCTGATGGCGAATGAGCTCAGCAAGTGACGCAAGGACCCAACAACAAACTCTTTGCTTGTGGATTCAGGTGCTCAGTGGCCATTCTCGGATGAAACCAGGCAGCAGCAAAAAGAGCACAGGCCTGGTTTGGTTTTTTTCTTCTTTTTTTTGGCTGAATGTCTATTCCTATACAGTGTCTAATAACTTCAGTTATGTGAGTAAATTATGACACTAACTTAAATTTCCAAAGTCACCATGAAAAAGTTCTAGGTAATACAGAACAAAGCAGCTCATCTACTTACGCTCTACTGATTACAGAATCTGTTCTGAGATCTTTATCCTAATATTCAAAGTTTGCAATGAAATTTGCCTTGCTACCTGAGACTGGCCTTCCTGAGATCCTGACTTTCCTCCAATTTTCATTGCATAAGACCAGTGAAACTGTTGACTATTGCAATGGAGCGCTGCTTTCATAACTTCTGGCTTAGATCATAGAACGGAGTCCTGCAGGAGGCAGGAAAGGCCAAGGACCTAGCGATGTTGAAAGCAAACTGAAAACTTGTCCCTTTTCCCTTAGTTTTTTCTTACCGACGCTCTCATATGTCGACAAGCACGGTCAGGATGTGCACCCGCTCTCAGGCATGCAGATACAGCTCGGCTGGGGCTGCCACCTGTGGCACGTGCATGGAGCAACCTGGCAAGGCTGCTGTAAAACCCGCCCAGCCAGTTGGAGACTGCTTAGGTGGATGCCGGGCAGCCTGTGCCCTCCCGGAGCCGGGACACACCTTGCTGCACACCCATATACATAGGCCCTGATCCCTGAGAGATTTAAGTGCCTTACTTTCCCTGAAAACAATTTCAAAATTTCAGCCCACCTCCAGTGCCACAGATTAAATTTATGGCCCAGCTGCGTAAAAGCCCAAAGCTCTTTCATATGGGATACTTATTTAAAAGAGCAGGGCAAGTTTCCAGATCTGGCTTGCT